GTATTTGAGATGTGTCCACTCCACCAAGGTTTCCTCTCTATTGAGAATACATGAGGGCATCCTGTGGCAAGCCATACTGGGGGCAGATCCTTGGGCTTTACCGAGCAATTCTTTGGGCCAGAGAGCGCGCCGAGTCTGAGGGGAATCAATTAGATGGAGTGTGACAGGAAGTCGAAGTCGGTTTTTCCTTCTTGCGGAGTGTGATGCATAGTATATTAGTATAAGACCCGTTGGCAGTGGTTCTGCGACACGCCGGCTAGTGATCGAGGGATCTGTACGCGCTAGATCTGTTCGTCATGATTCCCCCGATTATACGGAAGTGTTGACGCGGCGAAGGGTACGGCGGACTATAAGCGTTTGGATGACGCGGTTCGCCAGCCCGCGTAGTCTCTTCGGGTTCTGTTCTATATGGGGCCCTAGAGGTAGTATCAGTGCTGACCACACAACTAGAATAAGTACCAATGCCAAATTCTAGTAGAAATTATCCAAGCAGGACCTCCAACAAACCACTAAAGATTCAAGTAAAAGGAAACAAACAAGGCTTCAACAAAACCAAGGGAACTCACCAAACAATTTAAGGACTTTCAATTTAGTACGACAAACAACAACATAGGACTTTGAAGAAAACCACAATCATTTCCTTTGAGCCACGACATCATTCCGCGACCCTCCATTCTAATTGTCTTGTAGATGTGAATGCTCTTTTATTGCTCAACCCAATTCATTTAACATAGTCCTCATCCTACCAGGACGGGCTTGGTTACAGGAAAATCAACCTTCTCCCAGCATCAAACAACGGAAGCGAAATGAAGCACTTTGCAGGGACTCAATCAGGCATTACCATATGAAGTACGGAATTAATGGGTTTACAACGGGGACTCACAGGGCTGGGGTGGTACCAAATTATGGGTGACTAAATGAAGGCAAAGGGATGATAGGGATGCAGAGGGTACCTAAAGAATTGGTCAGGTACAGAGATAAGAATTCGGGAAGGGTAGGTATGGATAGAGCAAATCGGCAGGGAAGGAAAACAGCAGAGCAGGACGACAGTGGCTTCGGCTCTAATGGCAACCACCTTCATACCTCATCCACTACTAATCGATCTAACCTCCAGCAAGCATGAGGACCCCGAAGCAAGAAGAGGTCTGTTGCACAGAACTAGCCCCTCATTGGATGGATCTCCATCATAGCATGTCTTGAAAGACGGCATCCTATCCGGAAGAAAAGAAAGAAGGCCAAAAATTAGTAGGCAAAGTCACAGCGATGTTTGGCTCTCCCCATTTTTGCATTATACAAAGCGTTTTCTCAGAGGACCCTAATCTAAAGTGTGGTCACCCAGCAAAGTGGAAGCATGTCTTGTTACGAGATCACGAAGGGCGTGTGCGGAGCCATCAAGAGGAAGATCGCTACTTCAGGGCCATTTCAAAGCATACTGTGGCCCATTAAACATGCAGGCAAATCTCAGCAGAAATTGTGAGAAGTATGAGAAATGCCAAAAAAATTGCACACCAAATACATCAACCAGCAAGAGAACCCTACATTAACTAGCCTCATGGCCTTTTGCAATATGGGGCTGGACATATAGGACCACTTCCCACACAGACCGGCAACAGAAAGTTCTTTCTCTGCAGCGAACAGACTACTTCAACAAAGTGGGTGGAAAGCAGAAGTCATTGGATCAATCAAGAAAGGAGAATGTGAATG